ACTCCCCCTGAGCTCACACTCACCGTGTGCATTTTATATACACGCAGCACCTCCCCCTGCCTACTACGTCCACCTATCACCAGGCCAGCCACAGCAGCAGTCGCCCGCCCGCCGAAACCGGCGCGTTGTCCCACCGCATGGTGCGAAGCCCCTGCTGCCAGCACCGCCAACTGCTACGCTCACGCACTAACTGTTTTTGATTTCGTGTTTCATACATGTGTTTGGGGAGGCGTGCGCCGCAAGCGCAGCCTCCAACATCGCACCGTGATGTGACATACGCAGTGTCGGCTGGCTGGCACTGGCAGGCACAGGGTCCAGCTTGGGGGGGGAGAGCAGCTCACGCGTCCTGGCCTCTGCTGGCAGCCACGGTGCCAGGCCAGCCGGGTTTCGCCCTCGTCAACCTGCCACCTTGCCGACATTGCAACATGCTGCCGCTGCGCCGCGCCGCGCCGCACCGCCGCGCGCGCTCACTCAGCGGCCTTGCCCAGTGTCTTGGGCAGCTTCTTGGCAGCCTGCTCCATGATCTCCTTCTTGCTGTAGTAGTGGGGGGCGATCTCCACCTGCGGTACATATGGGCGGTACAGCAAGTGCGCAGCACTGTCGACCTGTGGCGGTACGGTGGCATGGTACCATCCCAGGTTTTTTGGATGCATGTCAACAGCTTGTCAGGCAATGACAAGGGCATGACGTCTTGTTGACAAGTCCCATGTCACACAGGACAAGGGAGCAACATGGGGCTTGTCAACAGGGGGCTTTGGAACAGGAGGCTTGTCGACACCATGTCGGGCGTGACATGGCGTCGACAAGCCTCCTATCCACAAGGGCCAATGTCAACAAGCTGTTGAAATGGGATCCCTGAAGTGAGCTCCAGGGAATGCGTCAGGCGTTCTCTGCCGTCCAGAAGGCTCCAGGCACTGCCTGGGCGCTCAGGCGTGGGAATTCAGCACACAGACCGGCCCAATCATTCATTCTTTCAGCACACAGACCGGCCGCCTCTTGCTCGAGGGCGGCCCACTTTGGCCTGGGCAGCCCGGGCCGCCCTCCCCCCCGGGCGCATGTTCGGTGTTGGAGGGGTGTGCCCAGCGATAGGGGGCCCCTGAAGGCATGCGCCGAGGCCGGGAAGCGTGGTTCGGCGCTGCTGCACGCTTGGCGATTTGAACAGAACCACGTGCCGCCGAGCTGCGGCCGCAGTTTCCGGCCCACGGTCTACGGTCGCAGCCACGGGACTCGGCGGCACGGCGTTTGGGCCCAAGCTTGCTGCCGCCGCCGCCGTGCCCGGGGGGCAGCGCGGCGGCGGCGGCGGCACGCTGCAACGCCCCCGTGCTGCCGAGCTGCGGCCGTAGTTTCCTGCCAGAAGCCCACGGCCACAGCCGCGGGACTCGGCGGCACGGCGTTTCGGTCCACGGCTTGCTGCCGCCGCCGTCGCAGGGGTGCTGCCTGCGGCGGCGGCGG